AGCACTGTCTGACGCGTCTGCCTCCGCGACCCGAAAGGAGAAGCGGCGATGGAAGATGAAGATGATAAATCGCCTTTGTGCACAGAAACACTGTATCGGCTTAGTAGAGTTGTTACTTCAATCGAATTTCGAATAAATCTGTCATTTCTGAAACGCTTTTTGATTCTGTGTCCAAATGATAACGCATTTCGTTCATTTCGGCATTAATTAAACAAATCTTTTGCGACTCGAACCATCGGGCAAGAAGAAAGATATGCATTTGTTTCGATTTAATTTTATTAATTTATTTTCGCGTCAAAATTGTTGAAAACTGTCCGGTACTTAGTAGCACCAATAAAAATTAACCAATCAAATAAGACAAAGGAGGCAGATTACGTCAACTAAACGCCAGACGCAGTACCTGTTCCAAGTCGACGTCGTCTGCAAGTTTCATCCTCTTGGTGTGGATCCGCAGAACCTCCAGACGGCCAATCGCATCCGGAATGCCGATGTCTATTTCGCGATCAAAACGACCGAAACGTCGTAAGGCCGGGTCAATGCTATTCGGCCTGTTGGTAGCGGCCATTACGATCACGTGGCTACGTTGTTTCAATCCGTCCATCAAAGTCAGGAGCTGCGAAACGATTCGACGTTCCACTTCGCCGTGCGTCTATAACGACTGCGTTAATGCGTATTTTTTGTTATTTAGCCGAAATGGTTGACACTGAAATAAAAGTCAAAACCGTGTCTTCGTAAATATACTGTAGCCATCGAATCTTAGCAACTAGTTCGCAAAATCATTATTATGGGTACTGCAACGAGGAGATACAACATTATTGGTAACCAGTAATGTACTCTTTCGATCAGTAAAGTACAATACGATATCCTGTCATGATTTATCTAGTGGCGACGGTTCAGCAGCTTACAGTTTAAAAACCATTTGATGGAATAACGCATTTAATAGCAATCAGTAAGAAGTCAAACCTTTTAAAATCAACGTCAAAAGAAAAACGACAAAATGATACAAGCTACTAATTACCTTTTCTCTCTTCGGTGCTATGGCATCGATTTCGTCGATGAAAAGGATGGCCGGCGCGTTTTTCTCGCACTCCTCGAACGCCTTACGCAAATTCGATTCCGACTCTCCCGCGAGCTTGCTCATGATTTCAGGGCCTAGAGCGAGACCAATTGTTTAACGACGGAACTTTAGCCGAACCGTTAATGTTTAATTGCTGCGGTAGCTGATGAATCTCAATTGCGTAGCAATGTCTGCAAAGCACTGTACAAAAGAAATAACAAACATTAGCATAATAATAATACTAAGTCAAATTACCAGGTGGCCACCTGCATTTGACCTCTCTCATATACTGACTCAAAAGAAAGAGGTCGCTGATTCCTATCACACCGCTATCTTCAAGAAGATGATTGCAGCGCACAATAAAGTCAAAATTACAGATGATGCGACAGAAAGGAGAAGCTTCTGCTGGATGAAATATGAAAATAAACAATTTTGATTTTTTATATAACGCGGCATATTACATGAAAGTTATTCATTAATCCAGCCCCAAAGGCCACGTTCTGCGAAAGGGGCAGACTAACGCAAGGATCATTCAACAGTACAAAAATGCTATATACCGTTAAGCAAAAAGAAAAAGGCTCCGGTTTCATTGGCCACAGCACGTGCGATGAGAGTCTTGCCACAGCCCGGTGGCCCGTAAAGCAAAATTCCGCGAGGAGGCTGAAAAGAAAAAAAACATAATTAAAGTAACAGCACTCATAATCAAAGAAACCAGTTTCAACCCACTTCAATGAAACATAACTTTGGGTATTGACAGAGTTCAAAAAACGTGACAATCAGAAAAAATCACATATCCGTCAGTCTCTCTCCGTCAACGATAGGTTAGTGATACTATATCGCCTCGGCTTCAAATATTCATGGACAATAGTAACACCACAATATTCATCAGTGGAATGATTAAATTCAACGGGAGTACACAGTTACCGCCGAACCAGAAGCAGTCTTGTAATCAATGAGTGCTTACGCCCCTAGATGTTCCGTAACACCAGCTTCAACCTGATATTCATGATCAATATATAGAATTTGAGATAATTCTGACATGAGATTTTGTAAACCATAAAACCACTCAGTTGCTCAAATCAAACGACATGTTCTGAGGAAGTTATGGAGCCAGTTTTCTGCATTTCCGATACCTTTGGTGAAAATTACCCAAAAAATTCCTTCAAGAAACGTTTTCAGAAATGAGACGGAAGCAATAACATGGCAACAAAAGAATAGAATATGTTTCCTTTTACTTAAGGAAGTCTCGTTTTCTCTCAATTTAAACGTTAATATCCAAAAATTGATTATTCTACAAGTTTACTCTTTACAGGTAAATAAATTTGGTTGTGTTCCGTACATGGGCAAGAAATAATGAAGTTTAAAGTATTTGCAGTGCTGTCTTAGTTATGGCAGAGCACCACGACTAATCGATGCAACGCATTTACTGTAGCAGCAAATAAGATCTGTGGAAGGCCGTCAAGAACGATGTTTCCATGAAAATGACATTTACCTGTGAATGTATTACCGTCGAGAATAAAAGTCCGTCCTTGCCGGTATAGACTGAAAGTGAGTACCAGCTTAATCAAAAGCGGTAACCTTGAACTATGTTTGCTTAATGGCACACTATAGCAGCTTAAGCACGCTGTGGTTGACCCCTACGTCAGATCAACAATGGGTCTTTAATCAAACCACCTCAGCGAAAGCAATTACGTAGCCAAAAAATTTCACAAATCCGGGATAGAGCTTTTTCGAAACTCCTTCGCAGCATGACCACCACACTAACTTCATCTTCATCTTCC